TAGCAAAATTGAAATTTTTATTGCATTTTAGTTTTTGATGTTATTAGATTAAAATGTATTAAGCTCTTTATTTTAGTTAAAAATTTCTCGGAACCTGATTTTCCTAGAAACACTCCCATATGATATAAAATCGTTTTTTTACACTCATTAGAAGAAGACTTAAGTAATAGTGCTTATGTTAGGTATAGTGAGATCGCAGTTATCGATTGGATTCAAAAAACCTGAACCTACCTATTCACATAAGACATTATTATTAAATAAAATCAAAAAAAAAAATTAGAACTTAAAATCCGTCAAAAATATTAATCATCTATCATCTCTTTACAATATCAACTTTTGTTATTCTATAAGTGAGACATAAAGTTATCTGTTCATATAAATAAGAAGCAAAAGTCTGGTTTGTGGTGGCAATATATGACTTTAGCACAAGATGAATTTTTATACATACATTTTTAGTATTATTATTTGGTGATAGATTTAAATCACTATTGTATTATTTAATCATGTCATAATTTTACAGTATCATAAAAAGTAATCGCAACCTTTTAATTTTCTTAGTTTTCAATTTTCACGCGTATATTTCAATTTTTACGTTCATTTCATGTATCAGTTCAAAATGCAAAGTTATCTTTCAACTTCAAAATTCATTAAAAACTTTTGTTACAAAGAACCAAATTCTACTTATCAATATTTCTGTAACACTTTCATGTATAGACAAATGGTTCTGATTAAAAACTCTGATTACAATTGTGAAAGCCTATTTCATGAAGTAAATAGTGAATGAAAAAAATACAAAAAAGACAAAAATATTGAAGAAATAATCAAAGATTTTTTAATACACCAGTTCCTATACAAGGGTTTCCTGTTTTACATACAAAATATTCAGTACAAACAGTCAATAATTCACATGTAGATATAGTAAATACAACAAATACAATAATTCAATTACTACCTCAACAACCAGATGAATTACCTCGTGCAAATGCCCCTTCCTAAAAAAGAATTTTTGATCAAATAAAAGAAGCTGAAAAAAAATTAGTAGAATTTACCTCTTTTTATAGTTCCGCTAATGATATTCAACTTCGTAAAGATCTTCATATGCGTATTGAAAGTTTAAAAAATGATCTTGAAGAAAAAAACAGTTTAAAAAAACTTAAACGAAATGCAGATTATCAGCAAAAGTCTAGATTAAAAAAAGCAACACGTTTAAAGGAAGAGAATGAAGCAGTTATATACGATTGTGCTGACCGTCCTCCAATACTTTTTGAATATTTTGATCTTTTTGAATATATACATAATTCAATTGAATTCGGTGTGACCGATGCTAAAAGAAGAAAAGAAATAATTAAAGTTAGATCAGTAACACATTTACAAGAGGAATTAGAAAATAATTATAATGAATATTTATCAACAAGTACTCTTTGCAATTACATGTTACCAAATAATAGAAATTCTATTGTAGTAAAAGCCTATCACCACCCTGCAATGGTTAGAATAGCTAATATTTCACGAAGTGAAAAGAAAGAACACATTAATTCACATTATTGTTTAGCTTAGTAAAGGTATCAAAATCATTTACAAGCACATTTTCTGATCTAACGGTTATGATATCTCAGAATAATAAAGCGAAGGTTAATGTTGTATACCTGCTGTAGAACGTACATTTCAAACCATACAATCAATTACTGAACTTGTGAAAGTAGAAGATCATGATTTTCCAATTGGTGCATCTTAAAAGCTAATTCCAAGTATTTATTTAATGATCAATCTGGCTGATTCAAATGACATGATGAGAGCAGAACAGCTTATGATTTATGTACGATCTTAGTGATATATTGGAACAAATTCTTTGACACATATGCAAGATTTAATTAATCTTACATCAATAAGAGAATATAAAGATGTTTTCAAAATTAACGATATAATCAAACCGATTTAGGTAATACTAGTAGATGGAGGATTGGATGAAAACCTTTGATATTTTAAAAATATACATCAATATTGTCGCCTATTTAAAAAATTAGATCTCGACTACCTGACTATACATACTCATGCTTCAGGCTAATCTGCATTCAATCCTGTTGAAAGAGCTATAATATCCTTATCTAAGAAACTAGCAGAAATTTCTTTTCCTATTGATAAATTTGGTAAGCATCTTGATTCTCAAGGAAAAGTTATTGATAAAGAACTTGGACTATGAAATTTTCAGTATGTCAGTGAAGCTTTATGTAATATTTAGCAACGTGATAAGATTTTTGGAAAATTTGTCTATTCTGAATACATTGACGAGAAATCAATTCCTTTATCAGATATAACTTTTGAGGCAAATACAGGAATCAATGATGATAATAATGGAATTACTGAACTGATTCTATAGGCTTGAATCGAAAACTATATACAAATATGCAAGTATTCCTAAGATATATGAAAATGTGTAAATCCAGAATGCTGTTCACAAAAACGAGCTCCTGAAGTTGCCACTTTTTTTGAACAAACAAATGGTTTTCTTTCATCAGTAATTCAAGGCAAAGATAACCATTTTTTGAATCCAATACTGCACAATATCTAGATTCAACAAAATTAATGAAATATAATGAACATTGTCCTTCAGTTAGTGCTAAACAGTATGTATAACTTGAATGCAATACGTGTAAAAAATACTTTCTACTCATATTTTTCTTATAAATTATAGGCGTTTTGCTCACTCTAAGAAACAATAACTCATTTTAGATTAGTACATAGCAATATACATTAGTTCTATATAAAATGAATGTAGAATTAAATGAAATAAAAAGCTTATCTTTTATTTTTTCGTCATATTTTTTATTCATTATCCAATAAAAAATGAGTTTATTTAATATATTATGTATTTCTATTTTTGGAATTTTGTATTACATAAGACATCATCGATTCCCTACCTATATGATATTATGTAATATCTGTGACTCCTCTTACCAATGAATTCAATAATCACTAAGAAATTTGTTGCTACTATTCTGAAATAATATAATTTAAAAAAATAATAAATAAATAAATAAAATAAAAGAAATTAATAAATAAACAATAAATTACTTACCATAATCGTTAGTAATTTATCCAAGTTACAAAAAAAAAAATTAAAATGATATTAATTAAATTTAATAAAAAATTAAATCCCAATCTTTTATTACAAATAAAATCACTAATTAATATTAAAAATAAATAAATAATAAATTAAAAAAATAAACAAACGAAAAAATTAAATTAAAGTGATTTACCGCTATAGTCACTAATCGCTAATTCCACAATTTCCAACCAATCTAGAAATTTAGAAATTTAAAAATTAATAATTCTAATTTACACATATTTTGACACTTCCCCTTTCATTTTACCTTACTACCTTACCACTCCACAGCCTTTCACAGCATCTTACTTATCCCACTGCTTCCACTCCCCCACTGCTCTCACTACTCCAATTCCCCTTACCTCACTACTCACTTAATTAAACACAAACCCTAAAATAAATTAAAAATATATTAATAAACAGCAAAAAAAAAGAAAATAAAATAAATATTTTAAAAAATATTTACTTATTGCAGTTGAAGTTGGTAAACTTGCTTTATTCAGTTCTAAAGAAAGAAGTTTACAATGGTATATCAGCAAAAAAAGATTATCAATTTATTAATTGATAATTAATTCAAGTTCTAAATTCAGATCTGACAGATCTGATTCAAATATAATTCAAATTTCACAGATCAGATTCAAATCTGAATTCAAATTTGACAGATCAGATCTGAATCTGAATCTGAATATGAATTAGATCTGAATCTGAATCTGAATATGAATTAGATCTGAATCTAACAGATCTGATCCGAATCTGATCTATCAAATTCAGATTAGATTTAGATCGATCTGAATCTATGCGAAACACTATTTATATGATAATTTATTCTATACATATATGGTTACTAAAAATGTATGTATATTATACATATGAAAAATTAACTGTATAATACATATTTAACCAACTGTACAATATATGTTTTTGTAATACCCCCTTCTCCTGAACCTTTTACTTCAAAATAGTTAAAATTTTAACTTAGATAATTTGAATTTAAATGGTAAATACAAAATTCTTCTTTTTTTTTATCTTGGAAATATTACTAACTTTCATTTTATTTTTTTTCTTTAGGAACACCTTCTTAAACCTAGATTTCAGCTGGACTATAAAAGTAAGTTAGTGTTTTTGTTTTTTCTTTATTATTAGAAATATTATTAATATTTCTTTTACTTCTTTTCTTTAAGAAAATGCTTTTTTAAACTGAATTTCAGCTTGAATTATAAAGGTAAATTAGTGTAGAGGATTATTTTTGATTTTCTTTTTTTTTAGAATGCTATTAATATTCCTTTTCTTATAGGTTTTTTTATTTTTCTTTATCTTTGGAATGTTATTAATATTCCTTTTACTTCTTTTTTTTAGGAGACATCTTTCTGAACCTTGATTTTAGTTTGAACTATAGGGTAAGTAGTGTAAGAGATTATTTTTGTTTCTTCTTTGTCTTTGAAATACCATTAATATTTCTTTTGCTTTTTTTCTTTAAGAAATATCTTCCTGAACTGTGATTTTGGCTTAAATTATTATAAAAGGAATAGATAAATTTCATTTTTTTTTTGATTTAAGAATGATACTATAAATATTTCTTTAGTTTTAATGTAAAATTTACACAAATTTTAAATAGCTAATTAAAAAAGAATAGATCCATTTTTGTAAAACAAATAATAATAACTTAATTAAGATATTCTATAAAATTTCCATATAAAATTTTTATTTTATCTAACTATAAAAAGATTGGATATTTTATAAAAATATTTGTTATATATACTCCTTTTTTTAATTTTATACATGTTTTTTTTATATACATTTTCTTTTTTTTAATTAATTTGTTTTTTTTGTAAAAGTTTTTATATTTTTATAATGAATTTTTAATAAATTTATAAATATAGATTTAAGTTCTATTGAAAATAATCAAAATAATTCAAATAAATTCAAAAAAAAAAGAGGAAGATCACAAGAAAGAAGTTGAGTATGGGATTGGTTTATATCTAATGATGAAATTGCTACATATTAAGAAGTAGTTATTATAAGTGAAATATGTGGTAAAAAATATCAGCATAGAAGTTTAATAGGTATCTTAATAGACTATTTAAGTAGTAAGTATCAAATAATTAAAAAAACAATTAAGCAAAACTATATGGTAAGAAATAAATTAAATAAATAGTAATTTATTCATTTAAATTTAATAATTTAATATTATTTAATTAATTAATATATTTTAGCTTCAAGAATCTTAGAAGTTAAATCACATAAGAAGTCTTGTCAAATTGAACTTCGTAATTTATTAATTAGTTGAATAATTTTTAATACTCGAACCTTTAAATATTACACAATCAAAATCTTTTCAACAATTTATAAAAGAACTTGATTTAGTATTTGATCTTTCAAATGTTAAATTAATTAAGCAAATTATCTAAAATGCTTATAATCATACACTTCTCTTAATTCAAAAATTCATTGAAGATAATGCAATTTCAGTTAGTTTAACTACTGATATGTAGATTAGTAGAAATAGACTGAGATTTTTGGATGTTATTTATTCTTTCTTAGATAAAAATTTTACTATTTATAAAATTATTTTTATAATTGAATATATTAGATATCATCATAATGCATAAAATATATCTGATGCATTATTTGTTATTTTAAATGAGTGGGATTTAAGAAATATAAAAAATATAATAATAACTGATAATAGAGCAAATATGAAAAAAGTAATAAAAGAAATAAATAAAATTGCTTCAAATATAAAGTGACAACTATGTGTTATATACACATTATAGTTAGTAGTAGAAAAAGGGTTAATTTCTGTTAAACTATTAGTTTTAAGAATAAGAAAACTGATTGATTTTTTTTTAAAACTAAAACAAAGTTAAAGATTAGAAAAAATTCAAAAAAAATC